GATAAAATGGTACCCCTTACGGTACCTCGGTACCGGCTAACGGTACCTCGGTACCGTCTAGACGGTACGGGGTACCGTCTGGCATCAGGTACCATCAGAGAAGGGAGTTTTTCACGATGGAGACGGTAGCTGGCCTACCGTTCCAAAAGCACAGCCTATCGTGCTGGCGGTACCATGATACCATTTCAGTGGTAGCTCGTTACCGTTCTGTACGTAGTTTTGAATAGTGTCATCTTCAACCTCGGGCAAATTTTTGAAAACTTCATTTTTAGTCACCAAACTTTAATTAAACTGTATATAAATGTTCTCCAAAGTTCATAGATCATTTTGGCATCATTGGTTTGTAGTTTTAACAACAATTTCAACGTTTATGATTCTTGGTTCTTCAAGCATGTCAAACAAAAAACTCAACCAAATGTCTGTTTATGAATGTAGAAACGATATATACAAACATTCTAATCACTAGATATATCTAAGGTCTTACCTCGGGCTTAAATGAAGGTTTTGAGAATTTTCTAGTGAAACTTCCGGCGAGGATTATGGCTAGCTCCGGTTACCTCTCACTAAATTGACAACACCACTGTGTTCTCCACACAGTATAGAATGAAGAACAAAATGATTTTGTAAAGAAATGAGAGAGTGGTGTATCCTTATATAGAAGGGTGAAGGAAGAAGAAGCCATAAGATTTCCTATGCAAACGGTGATACTCGATGGTGGAGCGGCAATTTGCTATCTTGAGGATATTTAATTGAAGTTCCTGGAATGGGACTAATTTGGTCTCAGTCGGGGTACACTTTTCGGTCCAACTTTCTCCGAATTAAGATCTGATTGAACTGATGTGGTCAAGTAGTCAAACTCTACATAACGATATAATTTTCATTTTTTATTCATAAACTTTATAAATAACTTATTTTCGGGTCCTCCTCAACAATTAATTAATTAACAATTAATTAATTCTGATAGGCTTATTTGCGGGGTGTTACATCTCGAGTAGCATAATCCATAGTCACGTGTATACCGTAGGTATCTCATCACACGTACAATAGCCTTCCAGTGCTCATCACTGGGATTGCTAGTGTATTAACTCAACTTACAGATGCCATAGGCTAAGTCTTGTTGAGTGCAGCTCATTAGATACATTAAACTACCAATAGCTCCCGCATACTACATTTGAGAGTTACTAGGACCTTGGTATTTAGCCAGGTGTGCATTGACGTCCAGCGACGTCTTCGCTACTCTGACGTCATCTTTGTTGAACTTGTCAAAGATTTTGTCAATATAATGGGATTGGCTCAGCACAAGAACGTCAGGTCTTCTCACAATTTTAATTCCAAAAATTACTTCCGACAGGCTCATGTCCTTCATGTCAAACTCCAAGTTCAACATGTCTTTGGTAGATTTGACCATCTGGTCATTACTACCCACTATGAGTATGTCGTCTACATAAATACATAACATGACATACCCTTTGGATGTATCTTTTAAATAGACACACTTGTTTGCTTCATTAATTTTGAAGCCGGAGTTAGTCATTACTAGGTCAAATTTTTCATGCCATTGTTTTGGCGCTTGTTTGAGACCATATAATGACTTAATAAGTTTACAGACTTTCCTTTCCTGACCCAGAACTTTAAACCCCTTAGGGTTTTCCATGTAGATCTCTTCTTCGAAATCTCCGTTAAGAAAAGCTGTCTTCACATCCATTTGATGAACTTCTAAGTTTTGTAAAGAAGCGATCACAAGTATCATCCTAATAGAATTTATCTTAGACACGGGGGCATATGTGTCAAAGTAATCAAAGCCCTCACGTTGACTCTAACCCTTGATTACAAGTCTAACTTTGTACTTATCAATGGAACCATCAGGTTTCATTTTTCTCCGAAAGATCCATTTAGAACCTAACGATTTACACCCGGATGTAAATTCACCAACTCCCAATTGTGATTCTGCAAAATAGAATCAATATCACTTTTAATGGCCTCTTTCCATTGAGGGCCTTCAAACGAATTTACTGCTTCATGATAGGTTCGTGGTTCATTTTCTATGCAATAGACATACATGGCCATCTACGCAATATGAACTAAGTAATGCTTGTATGTGTTCTGTAGTGAATGTTTATGTGCGCATCAGCTATAAGCAACACAAGGGAAGTACAACCCGAGCTAATTAGGATAGTGTGAAATGAAGAATGGTAGTATATATGTTTAACATACTCTAAAAGAAGCTTGTAAGATATTTTCATATATAGGAAGAAGCACTTCAAAATGTTGAAGGCTGACAAACTCGCTATGAATCAGCTTTTGGCAAAAACATCACAAAATGTATAATACATAAGTGGGGTTCGAAGTTGTAAACAAAGGAAGTGATGAAATTTACCTTACAACTCTGAAACAGATATACTCCCTCCGTCTAAAAATATTCTTCCCGTGTTGACTTGGCACGCTTATTAAGGAATAGTAAAAGTGCAAAATTTTCAAAAATGCACATACTATAAACTTTTAAATATCCTTTTATTATTAAAAAAGTACTAAAAAAGTAGATTTGTGATAAAATAGAAGGGTATTATTGATATTTATCCTTAAAAAGTACACTAAAAAGGGAATGTGAAGAATATTTTTTGGACGGATCAAAAAAGAAAGTGAGAAGAATATTTTCGGACGGAGGGAGTACTAATTAAGAGGCGCCTACAGAGCAAGTCCATTCCACACAAAACCAGCGCGTATAGAGCAATAAACTTTGAGAACAATCGTAAATTGATTGTAGCGTATTAATTTAAAATGAAAAAAAAGGGTTTAACCGGTATAGTGAAAAGAAAATACACGAATTCAGGAGTATATAGGTTCTATATTTCTAAATAATAAAATTGATCCTATTTGTGTAAAGTATCTATGTTTTAGTCCTAACACGGAGAATTTTCCCCCTACTTTTTTATACTCTGATCATTTTCATATTTTAATATTTTTTTTGAAGACAAAATAAGTACTTTTTATAGGACGGAGAGAATATAATTAAAATTATTGCTCTTTTCACCCTTAAAATCTTATCATGTATATTACTACAAGTCTCCCAATTTTTTTTTTTGCATATGTTTTTTTATTAACTCTTAGATAAAAAATAAAATAGATATTCCATTGTTAACTTTTGGATTCGTTTTTAACTATTTTAATTTTACTATTTATTTCTATACTTTTTATAATTACAATTATTTTAAAAGAGGTCTAATTTTCCATGTTTTTCGAAAGAGGACAATATTTTATTAACAAATAGAGTATTATATTTAATTACCTAACTAAGAATATTGATACTAATAATATTAAGTATAATTTAATAATATTTAACATTATATTCAATTCATTACTTAATTGTATATATAAAATAATAATAAAAATAAAACTAACAATTACTTCCTCCGTCACCCTGCTTGAAAAAACAAGGTTTTAATAATATATAATTTTGGTGTTATTTTCAAATTTTTAATTTTCTATCCAACACATCATATCCCACAATATTATAAAGTAAGAGTAAAACTAGAAAATAGCACAAAACTTAAATATTTATAAAGCCCGTTTTTATCAAATAGAAAATATTTTATGGGGTGGAGGGAGTAGTAAATTATATGCAACATTAAATAATGTAGCACAAATTAATCGTATCCTAAAAAATTACTTTGTATCTAATAATAAAAAAATATTAGCATTATTTTTCAACACCTAATTTAATCTAAAAAGATCTATATAACCTGATTTTATTAGATCTGATCTCATTTTAATAAAAATAAGTTATAAGATGAAAAAGTAAGTTGAAGAGAATAGACACTAAGAATTAAACCTTGTGACATTAATTTGTTGTATCAATGGTACCCAATTTCCATGTGAGCTAATCATTTTGTTTTTTGAAATATGTAGGCCTTAGTGTTATATATTTCATTTTTAAACATGGGCAAACAAAACAAATAAATTACAGAGCGTATGTTTATTTTCATGTGTGCATTTGTATCTTATTTTATTAAAATTTTGGTAGGTCGAGAATAACGAACAGAGTGTTGGATAAAATTAACCACTTATACAAAGAGTCGGGATCTACTTTCTAACTAAAAAGCTTAAACTGAGAGGTAGAGTTTCACCCTTCTGTATATGCGTGCTACTGATATCCTATATTATATATGTAAAGTTGAGTGTATTGATTGTAGTGTTAACATGTGGCATGCCACATTTGCACCTATCAATGAGGTGGAGACTTTTCATTGGTCCATTTTGCTTTTTTTAAAGATCTTTTAATATATTAAATAAATATTATTTTTTTGTATTAAAAAACATTACTTTAATTTTATTTTGTATAAAACTTTTTCATTTTTTGTATAAAACTTTTTCATTACACACCACTTAGGGGGTGTTTGTTTTTTCTGCAGGAAAAGGTCTGCAGTCTGCGGACCACTACTGTAGACATCTGCAGGAGAAGTGGTGGACCGAAGGTCTGCGGTCTGCAAGAAGAAGACTGTTTGTTTTTTAATGTCTGTAGACTACTATATAAATTAATGATGGTAGTGTACGGTGGTGGTGTATGGACGATTGTGGTGGTGGTGGAGGGTGGTGGTGAAGGGTGGTGGTGGACGTTGACGGCGGTGGTGGTGGACGGTGGTGGCGGTGGCGGTGGAGGGTGGTGGTGGTGGACGGTGGTGGATGGTGGTAGTGGTGGTCGGTGAAGAGAAGTAGAAGAAAAAAATGGAGAAGATGTTAGAAGATGTTAGAAGACATAGGTTAATGTCTTCTCCAAGAAGATGTCAGGAAGACCTTTTTGAGTGAAATGTCTTCCAAAAAACAAACAATCTGCAGAGCTCAACATCTGCGCGCGTCTGCGCAGCGCAGACAAAAGAGGCCAGAAGTTCTTCTGGCCAAAAAACAAACACCCCCTTAGTTCACAATAATTTAAGAGATAATAACGTATGACAACACTAAGGAAAAGATGACTTATTATAGGTTTAATAAAATTCATAATTCAAAACCAACAACATTATTTATGCAAATATTAAAATAAAACTTAAAGTATATAGTAATGAAATCCAACAATTAACTTAGAATACTCTAACGGCGAAAGAACAATAAGGACTAAATTTTTTCAATCTTGACACTCCTCATCTTGTTGACGGAGTCATCTCCATCTCCAACGTTATACAATTCATCTTGCATTCTTTTCATGGGAGTAAGATTGATCACATCATCTTCACGTTGTGTCAGATGACTATCTTGAGATTCCACAAAGTCCACAATTAAATTCAGTAAAAAAAATCAAAGAGATATACACCATAAATAGTTCGAAATTCAATTAATCACAATTGAATTTATAAAATAAAAGATGAGAAAAACTTGATCTTAAGTCTGCACATGAAATTTAATGATTTAAAAAAGAATTTAAAATTAATCTTATTTTATTTCTTGGATTCAATACCTTTACGCAAGACGATACGTTATCAACTGGAAGGACTTGTGTGTTTGTCTTCCCATCAGTTGAATACCCGATAGTCTTATCAGTCTGGTATAAATAAAGTATAAATACATTACCAAACATAAATATACCATCTTTCAAAAAGTGCCAGGCAATGAGCTTTAAGTTATTGTTTTAATTCCAAACCTGAGGAGAGAAAAATGAAGAGTGCAACTCCATAAATTTTGCAATGATCCGGTCATTAAAGCATATGTCATTCACATTGTAGGAAGGTTCAAAATCATTGAAGTTTGCGGTCTTGACTTCAACCTTAAAGATAAATGACTTTTCAAGCAGCATTTGTTTGAACACATCTAGTTGCTCACATCCTCCTGGCACACCCTTTATATACAGATAGGAACATTACTCGGGGGAAGCTATTCATTTTGACAGTAAGTGTCAAAGAAATTCACATCTCAAAGAAATTGACAGTTAATGGAATAAGTTTTTTTATACATACCTCACAGAACTTCAGCATCTCGGAGCAGGACTTATGCAACAACAAACATCCAACGCTCTCAAATATCACAAAAGTCGCACTATCTGTTGCATCGTTCACTCTTGCCTTAATTCGATACCTGCATATATTCATTATATTAATTGGCACCATTAAGTGTTTTCATATGTTTTTATAATTTGTTAAAATTCTAATAATAAAAAGTATGGAGATAAGCACAGGAGATACTGGAGACGTTTTGTCTTACACACCACGTCTTAGTGTCTTTTGGTTTTAAGCAAGAGAGAAACGTTTTAGTTTGATTAGTTTTCAAGCAAATAAGCAGTATAAAAACTAATATGTTAACATGTTTTTAGGCACTGGAGAAAGTTTGACATCAACAGGCAGGATAAAAAGTAAAGAGACTATAATCTTCAATATAATAAGTCCAGCTGGAAATTGAAATATACAAACCAAATACAGCAGCATTCTGTAGCTATCAAATTGAAACCATCCACTATGTGGTAAAACTCCGCATAGCTAGATCACTAACATACCCCTCTAAAAAACATCCGTATGAGGTGACATCGTTATGCCAACACCAAACTAAACCCAAGCAGGAAGTATTTTTTATGCAAAAGACAACTCGAAAAAGATACATGTCTTCACAATATGGCAGGAATCACACTCCTAATGAAATTGTATATAACTTGAAGATATGGCACAAAAAAAACCATAACGCAAATAACCTTAGTCCAATATGGCATGAAACACTAAACACTAAAAGTAATAAATCTACAACTACCCAATTACAATATTAAGGTTTAATTCAAACTGATTTCTACTTGATAAATAATTCCTGATTCTCAATTTAATGAATATGAATGATGAATTATGATTATATGAATGTATGACTAAAAATTTAATATTATATGAGTGTGTATATATATATATATATATATATATAATATTAATATATATTTACATTAGTATATGAATATAAAATGTATAAAGATTGAACAGAGATAATAGGGATTAATAGAGAATTAGAGAGGAAATGAGGAATAAATTGAGAAATGAGAGATTGAGATTTGAGAGTTGAGTGTGAATTGTGAATGGTGTGATATTTTTAAAAAATTGAGTGTATATTTATAATACTCCCTCCGTCCCATGAAACATGGACTTTTGCTTTTTAGGAGGGATTTAAGGGGAGTGTATTTTGGTATTGAATTTCCAAAAATGTTCTTTGATGTGATGAGTAAAAGTATGATTTGATGGATAGAATATTAGTAAAAAGGTATGATACGATAATTAGAGTATGAAAAAGTAAGGGGTAAAACTGACTTTTTTATAGAAATAAGAAGTGTTTTGTGGGACGGATAAAAAAAGAAAGGAGAAAGATTTCATGAGACGGAGGGAGTATATTAATAACCCCCTCCCCCTAGCCCCTATCCCCCAACCCCCCTCCCTTCCCCCAAGGGCATTCTAGCCGTTTGAGGGGTCCCACCACTAATGGTTGCTTTTTTTTATGCAGGTATGCCAAAGCATTAAAGGGAAAAAAATTAAATGGGTCCGGAACCGATACTGGTACCGAAAAATTGGCACCGGAACCGATACCGTGTGTGGCGGTGCCAGTACAGGTTCCCCGGAACCGGAGCAGCGAGACGGTCGCCGGTGACGGTGGGGGTACCGGCAGTACCGTCACCTGTAACAGTATCCTACCAGTGCCGTGTCCAGCCATACCCGTTAGCCCTTGTGTGGGTCAACATCCAGTCCGCCCTCCAGAATTAATTTGGATCGGCATCCTTTGTGAACGCTACCATATCCAAACCGTCCAATCTTCCATCGCTGATTTCATACTTCCCAGCTTCCCATCTTCTCAACAACCCGAATTCAATTTACGTACTGTCTACTCCTCCTCCTCCCCTTCTTAATTAATTGCTCCTCCTTCACCATAATTTAATTTCATTCAAACCCAGCCAGCCTCACTAGATTTCTGTTATTGATCCGAAAATTGCCCGTATATATACGCCGAGATTCTCGCAGTTCATCTGCTTATAATCCGATCGCGCGCTGTAATGGATCCAAAGCAGGACACCGTGCCGATGAATAGTCAAGTCGCTTCCGACGGCCCCGTCCCGAGTAAGACCGCCGCACGGCGGAGGAGGACGGCGTGCTTGGCTTTCGGAGCGGCGGCTGTCTTGGTGGCGTTAATCCTCGTCGTACTGGGCTTCACCGTCTTCAAACCCAAAAAGCCGACCACCACCGTGGAATCAGTTTCACTCAGCGATTTCAATTTCTCCATCGATTTACTGCCCCCGGCCGTCCACATCAACCTCACGCTCGACGCGCGCGTCGCCGTCCGGAACCCTAATCGCGTCGGGTTCAAGTACGACAACAGCTCCGTGCTGCTCAAGTACAGGGGCGAGGACGTGGGCGACGCGCCGATCCCCGCCGGGAAGATCGGCGCCCGGCAGACGATCCCGATGAATGTCACCATAACCGTCATGGCGGATCGGCTCCTCTCCAACGGGAAGCTGCTCTCGGACGTCTCCGGCGGAACGGTCCCGCTCTCCACCTACACCAGAATCACCGGTACAGTTCGGATCCTGTTCAAAATTCATGTGAAATCAGTTAGCACTTGCGATTTGTCCATTGACGTCGGCAGTAGAAGTGTCGCGAAACAGAACTGTGAGTACAAGACTAAATTATAGATCGATCTGCCAGCAGCTTTGATTTGTTTCCTTCCTTGTGGACGACTGCGGATTTAGATTTACGTACATTCCAATACTTTTCAATTCATAGAGAATTAGAAGATGCATTATATACATGCCATGTAAAATACTCCCACTCTCCCAACTTTTTGAGCCTTATTTACTTGGTAAATTCTTGAGTGAAGATCCACATGAAATTCATAGACCCTTTTAATAGTTAATTTTTCGTCCCAAAATAATTTACTTCTTTACTATCATGATTTCTTGATAACTCTTGATTTACTTGTTTTGTATAACTCTTGATTTAGTTTTTAAATATGTAAATTTTATTTTTTATTTCTATACTAATATCTAAACAAAATTATTTTAAAAGCCACACGATTTTGCACATCTTTAGAATAGGTAAAAGCTTTTTTTTGGCGGATGGACTATGGAGACACATACATTTTCAAAATATCTAATACGTATTTATTTAATTCATTTCTATATTAATTTGCTTGTGAAAAAATATTCATGCATTATTATATGACCTAAATTCCATGACAGGAGTACTCTATTTAAGGCCTATCTTTTCAAAAACTTTTTCTTGTTATTTAGATTCTGGTCTCTATACTCCATTTAAATTTATTAAGGATTAAGCTATGTGTACCGTACCCCAACATTAATACCCCAATTTGTACCCCGCAGGTTTGCACTAACATTTTGTGTTGGTGTAAAACTAATTTTTGTTAACGCACCAACATTTGTGTCCGTATAAATTTTTGTTAACGCACCAACACTTGTGTTAGTGTAAACCATCAAAATGTTTGTGCAAAACTATGGTGTACAAGTGGGGTACATTTTTTGGTGTAAGTGTAGCATGGTCCATTTATTAATTTAGTTTACAACAAACAGATCCTTACTTTGGAGTGCGGATCCTTTCTCCCGAAACCTACGTGTCGTTGAGTCCAAAGTCATATTATGAACTTTGTTATATTGAAATCATGAAGTATTAGGCCTTTTGCTAAAAGCAAAGATTACTGGTAGTCCATGAAAAATATATGAGAAGGTCTACATTCATAAGTAGACTGACAGATATCCTAGGGACGAGGCATCCAACACAAGAGAGAAAACATCAAAGATAAGGACTGTGAGAGAGTTCAAGATCAGTCCAAAGAAAGTTCAAGGTCGGGGGTTGAAGCTCCTCGATAAAGGTGAAGGTTAAGCTTGGTCGTCCTCAATCTCAACTCAAATACGCCACCAGGAAGACTTAGCCATATTACAAGAAGTTCGATAGCTTCATGTAAGTTATGTAAGTTGACCGGGTGTGTCGGGACAAACCAAACCATCGTTTGAGATGTTTCTAAGTGCACATGGCCAGCACGCCAGAAGCTTGTCTTAGAGTACAAGACTCCTCTTGTAACGTCCGTCCCTGACTATTGAGGAGCAGGCCGGTCTCAGTTTTTTTTTTCATTTAATCTATTTCCAAGATTTTCTCTCTAACATTCTCTCTTTATGAACTCTCTAACTCCTTGACACTGTGGCTCACACAATCCCTCATTGATGATTTCATTGAGAGCTCTCATGCATTGAGAGGCTGGGCACATCGAGCAACTCTTTGACTCGATTTAGATCAACATGGTGATATTACGACGAAAGAGAAAAGGTTTTGTAGTGGCTATAGGCAGTGGCGCTGCACCCTCATTTTCCTTTAAAAACAAGGAAAATGTTATAGTTCAACCGGCGTCAACTTCTTTGATCTCTGTGACTAGAATAACTAGACGCGCGCCATCAACTCCTGGCGGTTGTGGTCTTGAACTAAGAATGATTCATTACCTTTACCGTGAAAAATGAGAATGATTGATTTTTACTTTGTCATGGGGTATTTTCCAAATAAGGTTGTGCATTTATGGTAGTGGTAGCCAAATTCTATTTATTTTAAAAAAGGCCACCACATTTTTTTTCATTTTTAAATATTTTTTTATTATTAATAGTACACAAACACGCACGCACAAACACATGTACACAAATGGGGTTGGTTTCGATAAGAATGAGTCTCAATGAAAGAAATATAAATAATGTGATGTATTGATCTAAAGCATCTCACGGCGTACATTATCAATTTAAAAAATAGCTCAACTTCTATGTTACTTCTATTAGGCAAGCATTAAGTACAATATTTTAAAATCGAGGGATTAAGAGTTGGAGGGGCTTTATTGTATAGAACATGATGCATATGGTAAGGTGAAGAGATTATCGAGTCGCTAAATCCCACATTTAATATCTTAACTGAATAAGAACAACAAATCGATGACCTACTACTCGTTAATACGTAGTATTTATGTAGTGCATATGCTCGTTAAGAGCATCACTGATAGGGAGGAAATTAAAGAATAGGGGAATATGATGATGTGTTCGGAGAAATGAGAGAAGATTGATTAAAGTGATGGAAGAAATAGAAGAGAGAGAAGATTATAGGGGAATATAATTTTTCTGTAGAAAGATACAATTTTATTGGTACATTGCATTTTAAAAAATTTACTTTTTTTCTACACCAATAGAAATATAACATGTAAAAATAGATATTAAAAAAAGTATATGAATGATTAGTGTGGTGGGAAAATTGAAGGGATAGTGAGGAGAATAGAGAGAAATGAATAGTGATGTTTTAATATGAAAAGTATCAGTGATCTAAGAAAGATATTTTAACTTCTTTAATGCTTCTTAAAAAGATATCGTAACTTCTTTCAGGGAAATGTGAACAAAAAAGTCTTGATTAGTGATAGTGCATCATGAATGGTGACATGTTGCATCCTGAAAGCATTGAAGTACCCAACTGTATGACTCCACTTTACTTTTCGCTACTAGTTCGGCCACGAGCATTACACATTGAAGTTGGTTGTCCACACTTCACCCCAGTGAATGAAGAAAAAAATAATACTTGTAAAAAATGAGGCTTTGAGAATTGGTTTATCATAGAATTAGAAAAGTACTAAGAGGTCTGAATTTGTTATCAAACTAATATGATTCTAAACATGATATCAATACTTGATACTCAATTATATCTGCAATAAGTTTGCTGAGAGATGCAAAATCTAGTGAATAAAGCAACTACTGAAGTACATAAGAAGCCAATCCTATGGGTCCAAATTATATTGGTACAAGCATAAAAGAGGAGCATTAAGTAAAAAAATCCAACGATCTCATTTGGTTAAACATTAAAAAGTATATTCATATTGCCTATTAATAAAATATATAGCAAAATTTATATCTCAGTAGCATCATAGTTTTGTTTTGGAAATGCATTGTTATCTTCACTTAAGGTACACATGATAGTCAATAGCAAAATGAAAGCAATCCAATCAAAATTAAAAAAATATTAATAATAAAAATACAAAGTTAATGTGTTAGAAAAAGGAAGAGAGTGCACATAGATACCGGCTATCAAATCTTGAAGGAATTCTAATGTAATAAAAATGAAAACAACTAATCCGCAAAAAAATAATGCATTCATGGTCATGCAATCACTCTAACTCGTGGCTGCAAATAGCAATAACTAAATCAAAAAATGCATTCCCCTGAGTACAAATATGCAATACCAAAGTGCAGACAATAATTTTAAGAAGATCGACATGCATGAAACTTGTGAAAACATGTTGCATCCTACAATTTTAGATCATTCGAGTGGTTCTGACTCAGGGACACTAAAGCTAATTTGGTCAGGACTCCATAATCAAATAGATCTGAATATATGAAATTTCTCACAAGACACGTACTAAAGCCCATCAGCTCAATGTTTCCCATTAAAGAATAACTACTAATCAATTGTCAAAGATAATAGATGCCTTCATGTTGAAAAATAAACCTCACCATGATTAGATTAATTGAACCATTCTAAAATTCCACGACATGAGTAAGAAAAAAACCATATTTTTGCATTTGAAAATTATTTCCTTCCTTTTACGGCATGACACATCTTTAAGTCACTCAAAACATATATTTGCAACATGCTAAGCTATGTTACAAATAACATATTTTTAATTACACTCAAATTTACTATGTATCCATTCATCAAGCCATAACATAAGCCAATAATTTCATATTCTTTCTTTATCTATTTGACGGATACCCTAGCGACGGGGTATGCAGTCCAAGGAAGAAGACCTCAAAGATCAAAATTGAGGACCCTATCTGAAACACGGGTTATCGGCCGAGTGGGGCTACAAGTGGTCGAGTGGTAGTGTTATTTAGGTAGAAAAAGTTATCTACAACCGAGCACCATTAGTGTTTGTACCTTCAGTAGTAAGCGGGCGGCCCGGCATGTCGAGTTGACCCGGTTGTTGTTGATATTTCTTGATGCGGTTACATGGTCACGTGGCCTTCATGCTAAAACGGCGAGACTTGGAAAACAAGGCTCTCTCTCTCTCCTATAAGTATCACCCCTCCGGCATTGTGGAAGGATATCGAAAAGTTGGGATTCAAACTTTGTTATCTCGCCAGCAATACACTTTCACTTTCCCATTCTAGTTTCTTTCTCTGGATCCTCTAAAATCTTCGGTGATTTCTTACCCTCGAATCCCTGTGATCCGACACTACTGATGTATCAAACATTCAATAAAACACCCAAATATATATTTATTATAAATGCATTTTGATTACTATTTAATGTACCAAATTTAACACCATATATAAAAGTTTCAGCATAAGAATTATGTGCACTAAGATACTTAGTCTACATATATGTTTGACATACCACATCTTCGTAAACTATTATTCTTGAGTAGATATATACAAACAAATGCAGTGACTTGCATAATTATACTAAGCAGATTCCCCATGATGCGTTGTGAAGTACCCTAAATGCATTGTCTCTCACTATCGTATACAAAATCTTATAATTAGTTTACACAAATTCAATCAGTCATTCACACATACGAACATAGAGCACTAATTATCCAAATTGCATAACATACACAATTCAAAACCTTAAAATAAAATAGCTCAACAAAAATAATTAAATTTTGGACCCATAATGCATTCATGATCAAATCTCACAAAAACAAAACTAGCACATAAAACTGAAACCCTGGCCCAAGAAACTATCCCAAGATATATATTGCCAAAATGGCACTTATAATTCAAAGAAAAATATCAAGCATGGCTAATTAATAATTGAAACCCCAAAAAAATGTTACCACAAAAGATTATGATTCAAAGAATAAGAATCAAACATACTTGATTAAGAATTCAATCCCCCGAAAGGAATTCACGAGTTTGAGAATATAAATTGAAAATACCTAATTGTGTTGTAAAATCCATCCGAGATGTCATTGTCAAATGGAAAGATGAAGGAGAAAGATGACTATATTGATGAACCGCGGTGCATGTAGTCATTGAACCTTCGATGCACAGATGGAAAAATGACAAGCACTAAGAGTGGAGAGCATGCACTAGTTTTACGAGAGGAGATCAAAGTCATTAAAATAATTAATAATGAGATATACGAAGTATGATTTAAGGAGTAAAAGCCCAAAGATACTCATATGCTTAGACAAATAAAGCCTCCAGATTGAGCCATATCTAACGATGATCAGACATTTTTATTTCTTTCATTAAATGTATACCCCATATGTTTTGAGATAGCCCCGAACTAAATATTGCATTCATCATATCTTTGTGAGTGTGATTTTTTTGTTCAGCCACACAGTTGGACTGAGGTGTGTATAATGAAGTTACTTAAAGTACAATTCTATGTTGGGCACATAACTCGGTGAATGGAGCCTCGTACTCCCCGCCCTTATCACTACTAATAGCTTTAACTTTGCAATTAAGTTGATTGTCAACTTCATTCTTGTATCGAATGAAAGTATCCAATGCCTCGTATTTAGTTCCGTGTAAATAAACATGGCGGTATTTTGTGCTATCACCAACGAACGTGATAACATATTTATTACCACCTCTTCAATGCGTTGTTTTGAAATCACACAGATCCATGTCAATCAGATCTAGTGGTTGAGTAGTTTGTACAATCTTTTGAAATGAACTTCGTGTTGACTTTGCTTCGACACACGTAACACATTTGTACGACAAGTAGATGTCAAACATAGGGATACATTCAATATTAATTAATTTCCCAAGAGAAGCATAATTAACATGTCCTAGTCTATCATGCCACAAATTGAAAGACTCACACGCATAAGCAACATGAGTTTTAGTACTCCCTTCATCCCAATTTAAATCACCAGTTTTGGTTTTTGATGTTTGACTGAAATTATTATTATTCCAATTTACTACCTCCGTCCCTGAGTATTTGTCATGTTTTGACTTTTTTCAGTCAACCGTTTTCACCCTTTGATTTGTAATTAAATAAAATGTATATTGTATATTAATTAGATAAAATAATGTTTTGAAAATATTTATTTAATAAGTCTAATAAAATTAGTTTTGTCTCAATATTTAATTTCATTTTATTTAACTTGAGTCGGAAGTTTACTAATTTTGACCAAAAAAAGTCAAAAGTGGACAAATATTTAGGCACGGAGGGAGTATGTAAGAATTGGAGTAGAATTAAAGAATAAAATTTAATGGTAACTTAACTTTAGACAGATGGAGTAGCATTTTAGACTTAAAATTTTCATCAAAATCTCAACATGAAATGAGATGGCATGACTATATTATTTTATCAAATAAGTAGGAAAAATAGGGAAACAAAGTGAATGAAGTTTGACAATGTTAAAAGTAAACATGCAACTTAATTTGGGACAGAGCGAGTAGTGTTTTCAACAACAGTAAGGACATTAAGTTTAAAACATCCATCACTAACATTGATCTTTCATATGATTATACCCTTTTTGCTTAAGATTAGCTTGTCAGCCTCGAACACCATACTAAAGCCATGTTTGTCCAGCAGTGAGCCTCACATTAAATTTTTGCGCATGTCTGGCACAAATAGCACATCATTTAGCTTGAGCTGCTTATCAGATGTCATCTTGAGCTTCATTTTGCCCTTGCCTTGAATATCAAATTGGACGAAGTGTTCTATCCACACATTGTCGCCCAAAGTCTCTTTGAAGTCAGAGAGCTTCACCCTTCTTCAACTAAGAATTCTTGTGGCACTTCAAAGAACAATGGCCCATGATGCCATACTTGTAGCATTTCCCTACAAACTTAGTATTTGAGACAACTCATTTAGATTCGAGCTTCTTTTTTTCTTTGTTTTCCTTAGGGCCTTTGGAAGAACCCTCATTGGGTGGATGCTCCACAACATTGGCCTTAGCAACTCTTACTTTCTTCTTGCAAGCGACACCCTTTTCTTGGATCCAGAGACGAACAAGCAACGAACAAGAAACTATTCTAAGGTCATCCCTTTCAATTTGAGTTTGGAATGTCTCACTTACTCTCATTCTCTCAAAAGTGCATTTATTAAAAACGAGGATCAGTCCAACAAAAGGGGACCCTATAGTTGTGATATGTACAGTGAAGGTGGTGATTGTAGTGGCAGTTGCACCTGGTCAAAAAAATGATGGCCGGAGTGGTCTGTCCAACAAAGCCACCTAATACAGTCAAAACATTCACCAGTAGAGTCTCGAAACAACTCATGTTTCCAATGTGAGCATTGAAATTGAAACCGTCAGTACCTACCATCGTGTAGGGATATGACTACTACCTTAAGATTGTTATAAAATGATTGTACAGATTATAATTAACAGGAACGATGAATGACACGAGAAGATAATAAATAATTTTCCAAATTTATAACTTATTTAAAATATTATAGTAAAATCAAAAGTTAAAAATACTTCTCGGATCTTCAAAGGCCTTGCTTGGAAGTGAAGACTTTACGCACTAGATTGCAAGGACATTGCATGCTGAACTCAAGTATTGAACTGGGACATGGACACTGTGAGCAGCATTGAGATTTCTGGAACAACATCGAGGAAAATATGGCTAGAAATAGAATACCAGCGAGGACATTATGACCTTGACCAGAATGCAGCGAGGTCTCTAATGAATACAACCTGTAAAAATTTAAACATCGTGGAAGGGTATAGAAGTCACTGGAACTTCCCTTAAAGTAGTAGTCCATGTCTGGCGTACCAGACAATGTGGTCACTCTCCTCCCAGAAAAAATTACTATCGTGTGGGGTGGTTGTACAGATCAACCAGAAAAATTGGAAGGGATAGGCAGAAAATGCAGTCGAAAAAACCAAGAGCTCTCGTAAAGAATTACATAAGAAATGTTAATTCTTTCTTTTCCTCTCTTTTCTCACGTATGAACTCAAAAAATGAGAGGAGAGTAGCTCTACTTTAATAGACACATTAAGGTTTCATCTTGTAACCTTCAAGCTCTAATAATAGTCATTAGTGGGCAATAGTGGCGTGTTAATGAGAGATTATTAACATGTTTGTTACGCTACGCTTCATTTAAAAATTGTTCCAAATAATTGAATGCCAGTTAACCATGTAAAATTAGGCTAATTTTAAACATCACGTAAAAAATATTAATTTAAGATTAGATCAATAAAATTGCTAAAATTGCAATCACTATCATATTCTTCTAATAACGGGTTAACTCTGAGAATCAAATTCTCATTCACCCTTCTACCACTTTTGGCATATAATTTATCAAAATATTTATCTCACATAAGAGGACATGCGTCCATTAACGGTTTAAAACCCGTTAGGGGACTTATTGATAATTATGTCCGAAGTTGGTCTATTTAATGCCTATTTGATGCCAAAAAATTCTACTCCTTTGTTCTTCAAAACACTTCTTTCATTTTTTCTCTTCCACCAAAACACTTCCACTTTCTATTAAAAAACCACTTTTACCCCTACTTTTTCTTACCCCACTTATCGCATCATACTTTTTTTCTAATAATCTATCCAACATATCTTACTTTTACCCATCACATCAAGGACAAAATTGGAAATCACCTATAATTTAACACTTCTTTATTTTGGCACTTGATCAAAATGGAGAGTGTTTTTAAGAAGAGAGGGAGTAACAATTAGCGGGTGTGATGTAATATCAGTCATGGTCATATGAAGGAAGCTCATTCCATTTCTTAGTTTGCATTCTCATGCTACTTTGATTAGCTCATGGGAAGAACTATGCAGCTTTTCTTAGCGTTTTTCTAAAAAGTGTGGTCATATAGTAATTTAGAAAAATACCAAATCTGTAGTGCAACACCCAATTTCTACTTATATCAATAACTTTTTCAGGTTCCTAAACCTTATGAAACCATCGCTTGTCTAATCCTCTCACACACTCTCTTCCATATTCTTTTCTGAAGTATTAATTCTTCTTTTTTTTTACAAATTCTTTAAAAAGAACTCCATATGCTTCCACCCACAAATTTGTTTTATCTTATGCAACAAATCAGCTGCTTCAAGGGAATAGAGAAAGGAGCAGATATCCTCAACTTAACTCTTCATCTAATCTCATTGTGCAGTTTCCATTTTGGCAGTGAACCAGCAAATGACCAGCAATATCAGTCTTTTTTGTTTTTTTTTCCTTCAACACAGAGAGTAATAACTTAACACAAAAGTTACATTGTACAGATGCCTGCCCCCGGCAAACAGAAACACACTTAGCTTTCAGGTAAAAATTATAAAGGGGGG